ATGGTTGGTGACCTCTGCTCTACCACCTCTACTCGAGCTTGCTAGTCGGCCACTTTGCCTCCTTTGTGCTGGGCGGGGCTCCTGATGGCCTGATGGACCTGCTGCTGGCGGCGGTGGCGCGCGTGCCAACAGAGAGGGCTCTGAGTGCCGCCTCTGGCACGCGTGCCATGGGTTCGCCACCACTGCCCTATACCATTTCAGACCAATGGCTGTCCAGTCTCTTCTTAAAAACTTCCAGTGTTGGAGCAGCCACAACTTCTGGAGGCAGGTTGTTCCACTGGTTAATTGTCCTCACTGTCAGGAAGTTTCTCCTTAGTTCTCGGTTGCTTCTCTCCTTGGTTAGTTTCCACCCGTTGCTTCTCGTCCTGCCTTCAGGCGCTTTGGAGGTTGAGTTACTCTTTAAGTTTCTATTTCGTGTTTCCCCTTCCCGTAAACCACAGTTTCTCAACCTCGGCAACTTTTAAGATCTGTTGACTTCAAGAATTCCCCTGCCAGCCGTGGGAATTCACCCGTGGGAACCCGCCCATGTTTCCTGGGGAAGTCCGGGACTTCCACACCTCTTAAAGTTGTTGAGGTTAAGAAACACCACCGTACACTAAGAAACATTTTCTGTAATAGTCCTGTTTCTTCCAAAGGTGCTTTTTTTTCACGAGGCAACTGGAGTTCCTGTGTTTTTCTTTGAAGACATTTCGCTTCTCATGTAAGAGGCTTCTTCAGTTCGGACTGGATGGTGGAAGGATTTATACTCCTTGCACAGACGGTCATTTGCATGCTGTTTTTTCAAAAGGCAATGCAAATGAATGCAAACAACCGGCGGTCTGCAAGGAGTATAAATCCTTCCATTTCCCCACCATCCAGTCATAGCTGAAGAAGCTTCTTGGATGAGAAGCGAAACGTCTTCAAACAAAAACAAAGGAAGTCCAAGTTGCCTTGAAAAAAAAAAAAAGCATCTTTGGGATAACTATGGCCTGGATGACTGAGAATCTCCATAGACAGTTGTGTTTCTTCCTCTATATTCCTAAATGTCTCTTAGACATTTGGTTATTCTGGCTAGTGTGCTATGTGGAAACTCAACCTTTGTGTAGTGGAGGAGGGGGGAAAAAAACCCATTGTGATGTCCTTTGATACTAAAAACTAAAAATTGGCAGCTGTTAATCCTGAACTTTGAAATATCACATAAGCTTAAACGAGGAAATTGCACACAGGAGGTCTTTGACTTGCAAAAGATCAAATAATAATAATAATAATAATAATAATAACTGGAGAAGATAACAAAATACAAAGTCCTACAAATAGAAATAGAAAGACTGTGGCAAAGGCAAGCAAGGGTAGTACCAATAGTAATAGGTGCCTTGGGTGCAATCCCAGAACAACTGGAGCACCACTTGAACACCATCATCGGCATTTACACATTCGCCGTTAGTCAATTGCAAAAGGCGGCCTTACTAGGAACTGCTTCCATCCTGCGACGAGATCTGTAATACCATCAAACATCCACATCTGCCTATCCCAGGTCCTTGGGAAGGACTCGATAGGTAGACAAAAAGGCCAAATCCAGTCTGAACATCTGGCTGACTGTGCGATGATCAATAATAATAATAATAATAATAATAATAATAACAACAACAACAACAACAACAACAACAACGTTGGAAGGGACCTTGGAGGTCATCAAGTCCAACCCCCTGCTCAGGCAGGAAACCCTACACCATTTCAGACAAATGGCTGTCCAGTCTCTTCTTAAAAACTTCCAGTGTTGGAGCAGTCACATCTTCTGGAGGCAGATTGTTCCGCTGGTTAATTGTTCTCACTGTCAGGAAGTTTCTCCTTAGTTCTAGGTTGCTTCTCTCCTTGATTAGTTTCCATCCGTTGCTTCTTGTCCTGCCTTCAGGTGCTTTGGAGAATAGCTTGACTCCCTCCTCTTTGGGGCAGCCCCTGAGAGATTGGAACACTGCTATCATGTCCCCCCTCCTCCTTCTCTTCGTTAAACTAGACATACCCAATTCCAGCAACCGTTCCTTATATGTTTTTCTTACCCTCTGAAGACCCACAGATTAACAGAGATTGGAAAGTCAAAAAGTTGCCATTCTGCCACAACTAGTCTGTCAAGGTAATGATTTAAAAGCTAACCAGCTGATGTAATGTAAGATGTGATGATGGGAATGATTCAGCAGGGTCTGTGTCTCTTTAAGATCAAGCAGGAAGTTGAAGTCCACGAGTCATAAGTTGCTAAGGATGAAGACCCGTGCTATAGGATAGGCTGGGAAGTTGTCTGGCATCCCTAGTTATCACCATCACATTCAGTCAAGGAGGACTTGTCATCAATAATCTACAATGTCAAGGTATTGATTTAACAGCTAACCAGCTTATGTAATGTAAGATGTAATGATGGGAATGATTCAGCAGGGTCTGTGTCCCTTTAAAAGCCAGCTGGGTCTGTGTCCCTTTAAGAGCCTTGGTATAAAGGGAAGGCTCTGCTGAGCTGTTCTCTCTCTTCCGTTTCCTGCTGTAATTGTGGTTTGTTGGATCCTGCTGTATTAGCACGTGTATGTATATTGTTCCTGGTCTATGATATTGTAGATAGTGTAAGATAAACCACCATTTAGTACAGTGGTTCTCAACCTATGGGTCGGGACCCCATTTGGGGTCGATCGACCATTTCACGGGGGTCACCAAGCAAGGCTGTCCACCATTTTTTTTGTTCGCCATTTTTTTGTCCGCCATTTTTTCCCCTTTTCCAACGGGTGCCTTACCTCCCTTGGGCTGGGCCAGCTGGTGGTCAGCCTGCTTGGTCTCTGCCGCTTGCCAGCTAAGCCTCGGCCGGCGCAGGGGGCGGAACCACGCATGCGCGGCGCTCCCAGGCAGGGAAAGTCCTCGACTTACGACCGGTTGGGTAGTCCTCGACTTACGACCGGTTTAGTCCTCGACTTACGACCGGTTTAGTCCTCGACTTACAACCGGTTTAGTCCTCGACTTACGACCAGTTGGAGTCACGGCATTAAAAAGGTTGAGAACCACTGATTTAGTACAAGCCACTGTTTACTGTGTTTACTCCTGGGTTATCTCGCACAATAAGACTGTGCACGCTCTGACATGCAATTTCAATTCATATTTATCAATGATACTCTGAGATATTCCTTACCTTTTTACGGTGGAATTTTTGCTTTTCTCTGAAATCCTCCATTTTCTTGGCTTCTTCCCTGAGGTTCTGGGCTAGCTGCATATGGATCTGGCCGACCGTCTCCACTCCTTAGGAACAAGAAATCCAAACGGTCATCAATTCTGGTAGGAAAGCCACTTTTATTGTCGTTTTATAGGTGAGAAACCAGCGCAACTGGTTTTCTACCATGTGCAAAGCCATCATTTGCTTAAGCATGGTCCTCTCCTTAGGCTACAATTATTTCACATTTCCCAGTTCAGCAGAAATGTGGCCTACAAACCATAATGGCTGGATTCACACCTTTTAAATCAGGGGTAGTCAACCTTGGCTCTTTTATGACTCGTGGACTTCAATTCCCAGAATTCCTGAGCCAGCTTAGCTGGCTCAGGAATTCTGGGAGTTGAAGTCCACGAGTCATAAAAGAGCCAAGGTTGACTACCCCTGTTTTAAATCAAAGTCAAACTCATCCAAACAAACCCTGGTTTACCCCTCGCTGTGATTCTCACCGGGTGTTCAAGGTTGACTCAGCTTTTCATCCTTCCGAGGTCGGTGAAAAAAAGTGAGTTTTGCCTTATTTTATAACCTTTCCCACCACTGTTGCTAAGTGAATCACCGTTAATAACACGGTTATTAAATGGATCTGGATTCCCCCGTTGACCTGGCTTGTTGGAACGTCGCAAAAGGGGATCCCGGGACACACTGCAACCGTCATAAACGCGTGTCGGTTGCCAAGCGTGCGAAATTTGATCACGTGACCATCGGATGTTCGTAAGTGGTTGTAAGTGTGAAAGACGGTCGTAAGTCACTTTATTCAGTGCCCGTTGTAACTTTGAACCAGTCGCTAAGATGAAGGCTTGTGAGTCTGGAACTGCCTGTGCTCTGCTCTAAACCATCATGTCATTTGGGTCCAACATTGCATTCGGTCTGAACCCAGCTATGGTGACTTATACTCCAAACCATGATTAAAACTAATGATGCTCGGTTAAAGCCACTGTTGTGATCTCTTGGCTAGCCTAAGAGTTAACTCAAAAAGTTAGCATCTTGTGTTAGTATCATTGGACCCTACGCTTGTTCCAACACACCTCCTTGGACTACTGTCATGCCTCTGTCGGAGCCTGAATCTGCGGAGGAAAATGAGCTGGAATGGGACCCTACAGAGGCCGAGGTAGAGGTGTCTGTGGCTTCAGAGGAATGTGGGGAAGAGCAGGCCGAGGCAGGCCAGGGCCCTTCAGGATTGGGACAGGAGGAACAGGAGAGGCAGAGTTTATGCGATGAGCAAGGGCCACCCCCTCCTGATCCTAGAGCACAGAGAGTGGAGAGAAGGAGGGAACAATGCAGGCAGGTTCAACTACTCGGGAGGAGAGCACCCCGCCCCTCTCCACAAGGCAGACCTGGAGACTGAGATGTAAGGAGACGCTGTGGGGAGAGGCATTTGTCAGGAACAAATGCTGATTCCTTGGAGTTTTGTGTGCTGTTGCTGATCTTGGAAACAACTCTCTGATCTCTTCGGTGTTGTGATTTCTGCTTGGAAACCATTGGACTGACTGACAGCGTTGCTTGGATGTTCAAAGACCTCGGACTGTATTTTGGCTTCTCTTCTGAAACTGCGCAAGCAAGCTTATATTTCCACAGACTCGTTAGATTTTGGGTGTATGTGTCATTCCTTGTTATCTCCGTGGCCTTGAGTAAATTCCTTTCCTAATCAGACTGTGTGTGAAACTACTTGCAGCGGCTGAAGGTGTGTGTGTCTTCCTTTGTTCTGGGGCTTGCCAGAAACGTGGAAGCATTTGGGGGAAACTTGGAGCAACTGCATTGCCTCTGTGCCGTGCCTTGGGTCATCACAACTACCAAAACATCTACAGTTACTAAAGTAGCAGGAAAAAGCTGGGCTGTTTCTATGACAGAAGAGAGAGCTCCATTTTCTGGGGTCAAGGAGAGTTCTAGGGCTTCCCAACCTGGTCATGACCCTAGTGACTAACTCTACTCTAAGATGAACAAGAGGTATCTCAGAAGTTCCTGCCTGCTGACAGTAACAGTACTACAATCCAGCAATGTGGGAAACTCTCAGGCTGCATGTCCTAAGGGAGCCCCCAAAGTTGGCCGGCTGACAAGTAGGGTTCCTCAAACTCTACAGCAGGGATGTCCAACCTTGGCAACTTTTAAGATCCGTGGACTTCAACTCTCAGAATTCCTCAGCCAGCCATCACCAGCAGACAGAGAGTTCTAGTCCCGCCTTAGGCATGAAAGCCAGCTGGCTGACTTTGGGTCAATTACCAGGAGACTAAGAGTTCTAGTCCCGCCTTAGGCATGAAAGCCAACTGGTTGACTTTGGGTCAATTACCAGGAGACTGAGAGTTCTAGTCCCGCCTTAGGCATGAAAACCAACTGGCTGACTTTGGGCCAATCACCAGGAGACGGTGAGTTCTAGTCCCGCCTTAGGCATGAAAGCCAGCTGGGTGACTTTGGGTCAATTACCAGGAGACTGAGAGTTCTAGTCCTGCCTTAGGCATGAAAGCCAACTGGCTTTGGGCCAATTACCAGGAGACTGAGAGTTCTAGTCCCACCTTAGGCATGAAAACCGGGTGGGTGACTTTGGGCCAATTACCAGGAGACTGAGAGTTCTAGTCCTGCCTTAGGCATGAAAGCCAACTGGCTTTGGGCCAATTACCAGGAGACTGAGAGTTCTAGTCCTGCCTTAGGCATGAAAGCCAGCTGGCTGACTTTGGGCCACTGGTTTTATCCTCAACCAGCACGCATGGTGACCACCTTATCTGGGTATTATGGGAATTGTAGCTGCGGGACAGGGAGAATCCACAGGCAAGAGCTGATTTATTTCCCCCACAAACCAAGTTCAAACTTGGGTAACCGTGGCATGCCGCAGAGAACTTACGTTGCTTGAAAACCTCCAGTGCTCTTCTCAGGGTGCTAAAATGAAAGGAAAACAGACAATGCACACTCTGGGGGTTGAGCAACCGCGAAATTGCGTTGATGTCACCGAAACACGCACGCACACACGCACACACACAAAACAAGACTTCGTTCTGGGCTTCCAGAAATGACTCCAATTTCAACACCTGATTAGGCAAGTTCTGAAACTCAAAACTGCAGCTCTACAGTCAGATAAATTTCTGCACTTCTCTTTCCTCCTTTGCTGGCGGGCCGAGGAAAACATTTCTCAATCGTTCCGTGGACACTCGAAATGCAAAATGCAAAATGCAGAAGACCCGTTTAGTTCAGGGAAGAACAAAACCTTGTGTGCCTTCACGGCCCAAGGTCAAGTTCGCACAATGCACTAAGCCGGGGCACATGAGTTGCATGCACCTTATTAGTGGGGTTCCTCCCCCGATCCGCTAAAACCTGAAGAAGCAAACCACATCCTAGTTTTATGCCTTGGGTGAAACCAGCAAATGGCTCGCGAAACAAAGCCAGTCTGCGTTTGAAGGGTGGAAGGCGGAGCACGTTGCTTCTTAAGGCAACGGAAAATCCGAAGGGTTGCCCTTCCCCAAGTCCACCATGACTGCTTTGAGATCAAACCAAGTTTGGCCTAGGGCAAGGCTAGGCAACCGTGGCTCTTTTGTGACTCGTGGACTTCAATTCCCAGAATTCCTGAGCCAGCCGTGCTGAGGGGAAAGGGAGAGGTTTCCATGCTGAGCCATGCTGGCTCAGGAATTCTGGGAGTTGAAGGCCACGAGTCATGAAGGGGCAATAGTTCCTCAATGCTGGCTCAGGAATTCTGGGAGTTGAAGTCTGCAAGTCATAAAAGAGCCAAGATTCCCCACCCCTGACCTAGGGGTTAAGGCATCAGGCTAGAAACCAGATAATGATGATGGTGAGTTCTAGTCCCGCCTCAGGCATGAAAGCCAGCTAGGTGACTTTGGGCCAATCACCAGGAGAGGGTGAGTTCTAGACCTGCCTTAATCATGAAAGCCAGCTGGGTGACTTTGGGCCAATCACCAGGAGACGGTGACTTCTAGTCCCGCCTTAGGCATGAAAGCCAGCTAGATAGATATAGGTATAGGTATAGATATAGGTATAGAGATAGAGATAGAGATAGAGATAGAGATAGATAGAGATAGAGATAGAGATAGAGATAGAGATAGAGATAGAGATAGAGATAGAGATAGAGAGAGGGAGGGAGGGAGGGAGGGAGGGAGAGAGAGAGAGAGAGAGGACAGATAGACCTAGGTCAGGGGTAGGCAACCTTGGCTCTTTTATGACTCGTGGACTTCAACTCCCAGAATTCCTGAGCCAGTATGGCTGGCTGGCTCAGGAATTCTGGGAGTTGAAGTCCACGAGTCATAAAAGAGCCAAGGTTGCCTACCCCTGACCTAGACCTAAACCTAAACCTAGATATATAGATATAAAAAAACATTCCAGGGAATGAAAACAAGTGTTAAATTAGATGTCCTTGACAATGGCAGAGAGAGATGCACCAAGGAGGACTTCCTTTTGCCCACTGCTAGGCCAAGTCATCTCCATAAGTGGCCGTGAATGGGAACAGGTAACCATGCCCCAAGAGAAAGAGCAACTGTCTTCCCGTGACTGTATTTTCCTTCCAAATTAGAAACTAAATCTTAACCCCTTGGAGTACTCCCACGGAGATAAGGCCAGCCTGAACAAATGGCAAAGTAACTGCAAATTCCTCAGCAAGGGACTTCAGACAGCAATTCCTATCAATTCATTTCCCGCATAGATGCAAGCATTCATTTGTGAGTCATTATTAAAAAATAAATAAAAATAAACCATCCATCGGATAGGATTTCCTTCTATTTTCAGAAGTTCATCTGGACTTTTTTAAAACTAGGGATAAATGGCCAGGCTGAAGTCTCTAGACCAGTGGTGGCGAACCTATGGCACAGGTGCCAGAGGCGGCACTCAGAGCCCTCTCTGTGGGCACGCATGCCGTCACCCCAGTCCTAGGCCTTCAGCTAGGTTTTATAAAACCTTTTCGCTTTAGGCCTCCGCCGCCATGTGCAAAAAAAAAAAAGAGGTTCAATCAGTGAATTTCAACTTCTCGCAGAAAAAAAAAATCTTGCAAAGTTGGAATTGATTGATTGAACTTTTTAGTCCCACCCAGTCTGCCATTACCACTGTGGCCACACCCACCCAATTGGCCATGCCCAGCCAATGGGCCACACCCAGTCAATGGGCCACACCCACCTGGCACTCAACGATGCATAAGTGGGTTTTGGGTTGCAGTTTGGGCACTCGGTCTCTAAAAGGTTCGCCATCACTGCTCTAGGTGAATAATGGGGCATTTGACCGAGAATGATAGCTTAAGAGATTTCTCCAAACTTCTTTTTTCCCCAAAAGTGGGCTGGCTTACTTTAGCTCTGTCTGTCCACACGGCTTCTTCCGTGACAGGTTCATCAGCTCCTTCCCATATCTTTCTTCTATAGAAGCCCTGAAACAAAGATCGGTGTAAACATCAGGTTCTAGGCAACCACAGAGTGCTGATCCATGATTTCCTAAGAGCCGTGGTGGCGCAGTGGCTGGAATGCAGTATTGCAGGCTGACTCTGCCCACTGCTAGGAGTTCGATTTTGACAGGCTCAAGGTTGACTCAACCTTCCATCCTTCCGAGGTCGGTAAAATGAGGACTCAGATTGTTAGGGCAATACGCTGACTTTATAAACCGCTTAGAGAGGGAATGTAAAGCCCTGTGAAGCGGTATATAAGCGCTAGTGCTATTGCTACTGCCAATAATAATAATAATAATAATAATAATAATAATAGTAGTAGTAGTAGTAGTAGTAGTAGTAGTAGTAGTAGTAGTAGTAGTAGTAAAGTTGGAAGGGACCTTGGAGGTCATCTAGTCCAACCCCCTGCTCAGGCAGAAAACCCTATACCTTCCTGCCTTCCTTTTTGTTTCCTTCCTTCCTTCCTTCCCTCCCTCCCTTCCTCCTAGTTGCTAGAATGCAGTATCACAGGCAGACTCTGCCCACGGCCTGGAGTTCGACCCTGACAGGCTCAAGGTTGACTCAGCCTTCCATCCTTCCGGGATGGGTAAAATGAGGACCCAGATTGTTGGGAGCAAAATGCTGACTCTGGCTGAGGAATTCTGGGAGTTGAAGTCCACAAGTCATAAAAGGGCCAAGTTTGAAAACCCCTTGACATACATTATTCCAATATTTTTACATGTTCTACATTATAAAAAATACTATATTACTTATATCTCTTATCCCTCTTACTGTAGGGCCCCTTTATATTCAAAGTTATCTGTTCTTTTAACTGTATTCAAACAAGTGTTTGCTCATATAATACTCCACCTGGTAGGGAGAGTGAGATCTCTTGATCTCACTCGTCGCTCCCATGTAACACCGTTGCTGCGCGAGCTGCACTGGCTNAGTGCCGGCTGGCGACTCCCAGGGGGAGGGCCTTCTCAGTGGGAGCTCCCACCCTCTGGAACGAGCTACCCCCAGAGATCCGGGTGATTCCGGATCTCCCTTCCTTCCGCCGCGCCCTCAAGACATGGTTATTTCAGCAAGCAGGACTGGCCTAAGGGGAAATTTTTTAGTGGGGTTCTTAAACATTTTTAATTAATTAATTGCCTATTTAAATATTTCTTTTTAACCAAGTTTTAAGGGGTGTCTTGGGGTGTATTTGTATTTTATTGGTTGTTAGCCGCCCTGAGTCCGTAAGGAGAAGGGCGGGGTAAAAGTTTAATTAATAAATAAATAAATAAATAAATAAAATTAAAGCTACGTCTTCTGATATCCTATTCCAGGGGTAGGCAACCTTGGCTCTTTTATGGCTCGTGGACTTCAACTCCCAGAATTTCTGAGCCAGCCACACTAAGGGAAAAGGGAGAGGTTTCCATGCTGAGCCATGCTGGCTCAGGAATTCTGGGAGTTGAAGTCCACAAGTCATAAAAGAGCCAAGGTTGTCTACCTCTGGCCTAGGCCTAGGCCGTTTTATGACTCGTGGACTTCAACTCCCAGAATTCCTGAGCCAGCATGGCTCAGCTTGGAAACCTCTCCCTTTTCCCTCAGCATGGCTAGCTCAGGAATTCTGGGAGTTGAAGTCCACAAGTCACAAAAGAGCCAAGGTTGCCTACTCCTATCTTATTTCAAACCTTTAGGCATTCGGACAGCCCTCAACTTACAATCATAATTTTATCCTGGAATTACACTCATAAGTCACAGTGGTTGTTAAGGAAGTCATCATGTGACTGCCCCCAACTGTACGACCTATTTTGCGGTAAATGAATACCACGGTCATTAAGCAAAACCATTATACCCCCAGGGTGTTTTTGTTGGGAACCAGAAATAAAAGTTGCAAATTGCTGACTTATGATTGTGGGACACTGCAAACAGCCGTAAAATGCAACTGTATGATTGTATGAGTGCAAGAGCAGGGGTGTGTGGCCAGCCATCAGAAGTTTGAAACCAGACCCTAAGCAGCTCTGGGGAGGTCCGTCGTAATTTCAAATGGTCACTAAGTGAGGTAGTTAAGAACTACCTGTACTGGAACTAGAAAAGTTCATGAGAACGTTCAAGAACTTTTTGCCATCCCAGGAAATCAGTCATACACACCTTTCTCGCAAAAAATCCTCAAATTCTTTGCAGTTCTTCCGGCCGTCGTTCAAGTGCTGGACAATGTTGTCGTATCCAGCTGTGCTGATCAGGTCTGTTGTCTGAAAAGAATGTTTGAAGCTTGGTTAGGCAAATAACACACACAACGTTCCCCACAACAGTCAGCAGACAGAAGCAAGCCAAGATTGTATATTGGTTTCAAAAGCGCAGTCACCTTCTTGTACCAAAATGAAAAGTTTTTTTCTGGATCCAGTCATCTATATCCAGAGCTGCTAGAATCAATTCTTTCTGTTAAAGCTGGAGGCGTTTATGATTTATCATACAAAATCAACTGTCACGAATGCAACCGATTCTATGTGGGGCAAACATCACGTCAATTAAAAACAAGGATCCAGGAACAACGGCTGGCAGTCAAACACCACAATCCCAAATCCTTAATTGCTACCCACTCCGACATCAAACAACACCAGATAATAATAATAATAATAATAATAATAATAATAATAATGATGATGATGATGATGATGATGATGATGATGATGAGGAGGAGGAGGAGGAGGAGGAGGAGGAGAAGGAAGAAGGAAGAAGGAAGAAGGAAGAAGAAGAAGAAGAAGAAGAAGAAGAAGAAGAAGAAGAAGAAGAAGAAGAAGAAGAAGAAGAAGAAGAAGAAGAAGAAGAAGAAGAAGAAGAAGAAGAAGTAGTAGTAGTAGTAGTAGTAGTAGTTGGAAGGGACCTTGGAGGTCATCTAGTCCAACCCCCTGCTCAGGCAGGAAACCCTATACCATTTCAGACAAATGGCTGTCCAGTCTCTTCTTAAAAACTTCCAGTGTTGGAGCATTCACCGCTTCTGGAGGCAGGTTGTTACACTGGTTGATTGTTCTCACTGTCAAGAAATTTCTCCTTAGTTGTAGGTTGCTTCTCCCTTTGATTAGTTCGATTGGAGCAACACCAAAATCATGGGCCACACTACCACCCGCCACGCCCGTGAGTTCATCGGAGCCTCGCACCCCACATGCAATTCCACCCACAGAGACATCGACCTACAACCAGCCTACGCACCCCTCAGGATCCAAATCATCCACACAGCCATGCAGAGACAGCAACGACCCTCAACCATCTCGCGCAATCCCCCACTCCCAGCAGCAGTTCCCCTCCCAATGGCCCCAATCTGATATAACTGCCCCATCACAAGATTCTCACTGATGACTTTCACCAGCTTATAAAGCAGTATTTTTTCAAACTTGGTATCCGGTCCCTGAATCCTTATTGCTTTTCCTGCATACTGTATGTGCTCTTGTTTGGGGCCTGCCATAAGAAAGGCTGAGCGCCAAAGAATGGAGGCCTTTGAACTCTGGTGCTGGAGAAGACTCCTGCGAGTCCCCTGGACTGCAAGGCGATCAGACCGGTCAGTCCTAGAGGAGATCGACCCCGACTGTTCTTTAGAAGGCCGGAACCTGAAGTTGACACTCAGGTACTTTGGCCACCTCATGAGAAAAAAGGACTCACTGGAGAAGAGCCTGATGCTGGGAAAGATGGAGGGCAAGAGAAGAAGGGGACGACAGAGAAGGAGGTGGCTGGATGGAGTCACTGAAACAGCAGGCGTGAGCTGAAATGGACTCCAGAAGATGGTAGAGGACAGGAAGGCCTGGAGGAACGTGGTCCATGGGGTCACGATGGGTCGGACACGACTTCGCAACTAACAACAACAAATTCTTCTGGGGGGGGCAATTGGCTTTCGCTTGGGATAACCTTCGCTTTCTATCTTTCCTCTCCCGCCTCTCTCCACTTGAGAAAGCATGTGTCTCCCTTATCAGGAGACAGCTACGAAGAAACGAAACTAGAGAAGATCTTGAGATGTTTGCCAACTGTCCCAATTACTCAAATACCATGCCACCTGTGGACTGGCTGGATTTCAAATGGATACTATGAATTTGATGGGAGGAGGAAGATTGTTAGTTTAACTATACCAGGGGTAGGCAACCTTGGCTCTTTTATGACTTGTGGACTTCAACTCCCAGAATTCCTGAGCCAGCATGGGGGAACTATGGCCCCTTCATGACTGGTGGACTTCAATTCCCAGAATTCCTCAGCCAGCCTGGCTCAGCTTGGAAACCTCTCCCTTTCCCCTCAGTATGGCTGGCTCAGGAATTCTGGGAATTGAAGTCCACGAGTCATAAAAGGGCCGTGTTTGAAGACCCCTACCCTAGGCCTAGAGTCTAGACCAGGGTAGGCAACCTTGGCTCTTTTATGACCCGTGGACTTCAACTCCCAGAATTCCTGAGCCAGCATGGGGGAACTATGGCCCCTTCATTGACTCGTGGACTTCAACTCCCAGAATTCCTGAGCCAGCATGGCTCAGCTTGGAAACCTCTCCCTTTCCCCTCAGCGTGGCTGGCTCAGGAATTCTGGGAGTTGAAGTCCACGAGTCATAAAAGAGCCAAGGTTGCCTAACCCTGAACTATATCATCTAAGCAGGATTTTCCCCAGATCTCGCCGACTTCCCTGCTGTCAGTAACCCCTAATCAAAGTTTCCTTTTGAGACAATGCCTATTTCAAGAGTTCTGCTTTCTTGGGCGACTTAGCTGAGGTGGGTCCTTACACTGGGCCACTTTAAAATGTGGAGGAATTCTGGGAGTTGAAGTCCACACATGTTAAAGTGGCCATATTTGAGAAACACCGTGCTAGAGTAGAGAATAGAATAAAGTCAGTGAAGTAAATTTGGCTAGGTTTCTCCCCTGACATCCTAAACTTCTCGATGGGATTTTTTCGTAATAGGTCATCCTCCAGAAAACTTAAGACTGCCACTTCCATCATTCTCAGTCAACATGGAATTGTAGTCCAACACATCTGGAAGGCCAAACTGGGATAAACTGATAAGGAAATGAAAGATAAGGAAATGAAAACTGGTTCTTCTAGGACAGGGGTCCCCAATCCCCAATCCCCGATCTGTGGACCGGTACCGGGCCGCAGCATGCCAGCAACCAGTCCGCACAAACAAGCAAAGCCCCATCTGTGGGATGCAGGCAGCACAAAAAACCACACACTCTCTGGTCCATGGAAAAACTATTCCCCACTGAACACGGTCCCTGGTGCCCAAAAGGTTAGGGAATCTCTGTTCTTGGAGAAAGTCTTGACCTTGAGAAAACAGGCAGAAATTGTTAGAAAAATAAAAGTATAGCTTTAACCCCAGGAAACAGAGAAAAGCGTGGGAAAGAAACATAAACACAGACATAATTCATTAGGGAACTGTTTCTCGGCAACTTTTAAGATGTGTTGACTTCCTTTTTCTAATAGTAGTTTTGTTGAAAAGTACAAACAAACAAACAAACAAAGGATTAAAAACTACTGGTAATCCTTGACTTACAATGGAGCCAATATTTCTGAGGTTAAGTGAGACATTTACTAAAGTCAGTTTTGTTCCCCATTTTACGAACTTTCTTCCCTCAGCTGTTAAGTAATAATAATAATAATAATAAAGTTGGAAGGGACCTTGAAGGTCATCTAGTCCAACCCCCTGCTCAGGCAGGAAACCCTATAACATTTCAGACAAATGGCTGTCCAATCTCTTCTTAAAAACTTCCAGTGTGCAGCATTCACCCCTTCTGGAGTGGTGAATGCTGAATTATTCTGAATTATTATTCTGAATTATTGCAGTTGTTAACTTAGTCACCCAGTTGTTAAGTGACTCCGTCTTCCCCAGTGATTTTGCTTGTGAGGAGGTCGCAAAAGGGGATCGCAGGATCAAAGGGGCAAAGCTCACTTAACGAATGTCTTGCTTAGCAACGGAAATTTTGGGCTCGGTTGTGGTCGTAAGTCAAGGACTCCCTGTACGTGAACGAAAGGATGAGCAAGCCGGATGTTTTGGGCACCAAAAATGCATTCTCTTAGGAGCAAAGATTAAAGCAGTGCTTGTCAACATGGGCAGCTAGATGTGTGGACTTCAACTCCCAGAATTCCCAGCCCACATAGCCCCAGCTGGGAATTTTGGGAGGTGGAGTCCCCGTACCTGGAAGCTTCTAGGTTGAGAAACAGTACGTAAAACAGAGGTCCCCAACCTTTTGGGCACCAGGGACCGGTTCCGTGGAGAGACGTTTTCCCACGGACCGCAGAGTGTGTGGTTTTGTGTGCATCCCACACATAGATACATACATACATACATACATACATAGATAGATAGATAGATAGATAGATAGATAGATAGATAGATAGATAGATAGATAGATAGATAGATAGGAGAGAGATGATAAATAGATAGATAGATAGATAGATAGATAGATAGATAGATAGATAGATAGATGATAGATAG